TCGTATAAAGGTATGTTCACATCGTATAAAGGTATGTTCACATTATATAAAGGTATGTTCTCATCGTATAAAGGTATATTCACATCGTATAAAGGTATGTTCACATGGTATAAAGGTATGTTCACATGGTATAAAGGTATGTTCTCATGGTATAAAGGTATGTTAACATCGTATAAAGGTATATTCACATCGTATAAAGGTATGTTCCACATCGTTTAAAGGTATGTTCACATTTTATAAAGGTATGTTTTCATCGTATAAAGGTATATTCACATCGTATAAAAGTATGTTCACATCGTATAAAGGTATATTTACACCGTATAAAAGTATATTCACACCGTATAAAAGTATACACACTTAATATAATATTATATACACATCGTATATAGAATTAAGTGATCCACATAATATACTACATGATATTAAGGCAGTCATGCCTTTCCATATAGGTAGGTTAAATATGTGCCCCGGGTGAACATTTTGCTGTGATAATGCTTGTGTTGCGTTCGCCACTTCGGCACTGGACTCGTTCCTATGAGTCATGATAACATTTTGCTCTATGACGCCACGGTTCTCACAAATGCCTAACAAAACATGAACCAAAAAACTGAAAACATATTGTCTATAGAGGGATTGTGACTGGTGGTGCCGGGTCATCTGTTACAGCATGAATCAGAATGGGCGTTCTATATTTACGTTCATGGTAGTACCACTGTCACGTGTAGATTCGTCATACCACAATAGCACAGTGCTGGTGATATCGCAATGTTGTACGCGTTGTTGAGTTATTATATTTAAAAGAATTCTATTCTTTGTTATCGTGTCCCGTGTTACCAGCAGAACAAACACAAGAGAAATAGTGTCTTATCGCGCATGTATTTACATATGAGTAGTAGTAAATGGGTGTGGAGTTGTAATAACAACTTCTCTCAAGTTGGACAAAGACGCCGTCTAAACCATATACCTTACTCATTATTAGTATATACACCGCAAATAAAATAAGATCCTAATTTGGCTTTCTTAATATTTTTTATTTATTATTTTTTAAATTTTATTATAGATTTTTTATTATTATTTTTTAAGTTTTCGTAACCGCGAAGGCCCACAAGGAGAATATTGAAATAATTATAAAAATATAACATATTTTAATCGGGTCGGAGTGTGTATGTATGGATATACAGCCTTTAACAAAGTTTCGTACTCGAGGCTTTATCGTATAATTTATAACTTCAGTGGTTATTTGATTGCCAATCGTCATTGAATTTTGTTTGATGTAAATTTCACAATTAAATTAAGGTTTACAAGAAATTCCAAGTGCACGTTTCAATAAACTGCAGAAATAAACATCCAAATTGACTTAGGTTGTATTTGTTTCAATGTGGTTTGGTAGCCACCTGTTGCCGTATATGAACATTAAAAGGTAGACTTCATGATAGAGGCCTAAACATCGCAACACATTGTCTCACAGAATTAAAACAATTCCAAACAAAACAAAAGACAGATTTATAGTGTAAACATCATAAACAATATTGTCCCATGCTGCATTCTCAGGGAATGACAACTTTCTATTTAATGTCATACGTCAAACCACGGCCTTGTCCTTTATTAGGGACAATAACGGTTTCATTTCAGTGATGTGTCGTTTTCATTAAATTAGCATATGAATGAACAAGGTAGACATTCCCTCCGTGTCCTGACTTTCACCTGTTGCACCAATATGACCCGTGTCAGCTGATCGTGCGCTACCAACAAATGACCGTAAATTTAGATTGTACCAACATGCGGAGACGATCGATAGATAAATACCCCAACTGTTACCACCAGTGGTTTCTTCAGCGAACCTTCGAGTCTATTTCTTAGCGTGTTTATGCCATATAAATTTGGCGAACTGTACCAGTCTAGCAAGTTGACTCAACGAAATTCCTTCGTAAGGCGAAGTTACACGTCGTATCGGTCAGTCTCTGCTGTATGTCATAATGGCGCGTGGCCAAATAATACAATTGACGTTCGCGGTATTACTTGTGTGTTTGCTGTTTTTGACGTTTGAGGTGTACATAACGTTTCGCATGACGCCTTCAACGCTCGCCAATCGGTTACAGGGGTGCAACCATAACGATTTGACGTCGATGGATCAAGCCAATCTGCCAGCCAGGTTCGTGTATATCCAATCAATGATGGACAGGCAACATGAACTCGACTTAAATTCGGATATTTCAGGAATGTCAAATGACAAGACCGATTTAGAAGGGGCACCCATGAGTCCGCAATTGAGAGAATTTTACGATGTTGGCGTCAACTACGATCATTTGCCAGCAGATTTCGAATTCATTAATAACCCACAGAGTATGTGTGTATCCAATGAATTTGGTGGAATCGACTCTGTGAGTTTCCTCGTCGGGGTCGAATCGGTGCCTAAGAACAGAGCAATTAGATCCGCCATCAGAAAAACCTGGGCGAACAAAGCTCTATTAGACAAAATTTCAGCCCGTTTGGTATTTCTTGTTGGACTTCCGGAAACTCAAGAAACACAGGACTCACTGGACCTGGAAAGTTTGAAACATGACGACCTTGTGCAAGGCGGATTTGTAGATGAGTACGAGAACTTGACAATGAAAACAATAATGTTCCTTAGGTGGTCGTACCATTATTGTCAGTCAGCGGATTACGTAATCAAGACTGACGAAGACGTCTTTGTCAACCTTATGGAAATATCCTCTCTGTTAACTAATTTGCCGCGGACGAGGATATACCTCGGGAATGTGGTCATGAAAAGTCAAGTGTTTCGTAACCCCAATTACCAGTGGTATACCTCATTTGAGGCGTACCCCGACCAGTTTTACCCAGTCTACAACTCTGGCGCTTTCTACATCCTTTCAAAGGATGTGGCCAGAGACTGTTACAATCACGTGTGGCACCACAGGACCTGGTACATTTCATCGGAGGACGCCTTTATAGGAATAATAATGAACACACTTAAAGTTGTGCCCTACCCATTTCAAGGGATCTATATTGACATATCGCCGGTAAAACACATCTGTGTGTACGTAGAATACCCAGTAGTACACCAGACAACAGCAGAATTACTGTTTCACTACTGGCCAATCATCGACAAGATGGTATCGTCTGAGGCCAAGACAGCTCGATTCAAATCAAAGTGTGTTACTCAAAGAATAGAATCGACAATGACGCTCTATTAGGAATCTGTGTGTTTCCTCGGTCGCGTCAAAGTACTTCCGTGGCCACGGAGAAAATGATGACCAAGAACACATCCACAAATTGTCTTCAGTTATCTGTGTTGTACTACGTTATGACAAATGTGACATTCCTTGTAAACCAGTCACAATATATAATGTTGAGATACAATTTTGTTTGATTCTCTAAAACCTGAAGTCAATGTTAAAGAAAGAGAGAGAGAGAGAAAACGATAAATTGGAGCGTGAATCCAATAAATTGTCGCCGATGAGGCATAAGCAAATTAAATATTTGCAATTCCCCCAGCTTCCAGTATTCCAATCGACCTCTTCGAACTATCTATGGTACTTCATACTTGCATAACACGTGGAACAGGAATCCCATACAAAACTCCTATACAACTTAAACTCAGTTAAATTACATAACTTTTTTTCTTACAATTAGAGTTTAATTCAGGCCAATCACATTGTAATCTTATATAGGAATTTAATGTAATTACACACATTTAAAATGTAATTATTCACAATGAAATTTAATTTAACTGTATCTAGACCAGCTTTCTTGACTTTAATGAAATGCAACTTAAAGTTTTAAGTTAAATATAATTTAACGTGTCTTGGTATTACATTTCGGGTGTAAGGTATTTGTCGCATACGTGAAGAACGACGAACACGGCGCTCTGCAGCGACTGTGGCGTTTTATTAAGTAACGCACGCGTTACAACTACTTGTAAATATATATTTTACACGCGTTGTGTACGTCGAGTGTAATAATTGAACAGGATGCGGTGCGACGACTGTGGCGATTTATCTAGTATGTTTTACATGTATTTTGTTTTACACCACAAATGCGTTGTACAAAGTGTCGAGAAGTCAATATATCTAATATATATGTATAACAATATATTAGTAGATGTTGTAGTTGTTCATGGTTTATTTACTCTGTTATTGCTGAATACGCTTGGAATGCAAATTGCTTCTTATTTGCGCCTGGACCTTTTTTTCACGGGTCAAACGTATTGAGAAATAATTAATGTTGTATTAAGAACGTATATAATTCGTCTAGTAACGGTATGTGTATTTTTAAGCATTATAAAACTTTGTCCGTCATGGTATAGCACGAGAATTTGCGCGAAAGCGAGACGTACACCTTGTCAGGAGACGATTTAATTTATCTGCAGATATATCGTGCTGTTTCAGTGTAACATCCACACTTACGGTCAGCATCTTGTGATGGGATGACTGCCTGATCTACACAATGTCTATAAGTTAAACGCCGAGATGTACGGCGCAGCATCTAATAAACAAATATAACATAAATATGACTGTAACATATCACACAGTAGAAAATTGTAATATATACAGACACGTAACAGAAAGGATGCAATTTATTCGTGTTATAGGTAATGCATGTATTTATGGAAAAGTTCCGGTATTTCAGTTTACATAGTTAAATGACATGTGGGATCATATACTTTATAGAAGGACAGAACGCAGGCAAACTGCAGCTCAAATATCATAGCGGATGTGTGCTTGCAGGCTACTTGACGTAATCACAGTAATCTTAATGAAATTCAAAAGCAGTAATAGTTTTAGGAGCAATATTATCATAGTTCACCGATTTTGAAACAGTTTAAGTTCTACATTGTCAAATATATGTGCTGTAACTTGAACACTTCACGAGTCTTGTTCATGACCCTAAAATTAGCGAATATTTGCAAAACAGCTAACTTGGAGTGTTTAAAAAATGGAAGTGTTGTTTATCTTTAAAGGGCGGTAGTCGTTGCGCCACGCATGTGTGAGATATGTGGGCCTCATATAAACAAAGAAGGCGACTTTGACTGAGACGTTACCAAGCTTTATATATTTTAGGTGATTGGAAGGTATCAAAGGAGTCACCGGCGGTAATCAGTACAAGTCGCGCCCAGGTCAAACCTCATACTTGTGATTTCCATTTGAAGAGCGCATTGGATTGTGGGAAAATCAATGTTTATCAACACAAATCAATGTCGCACATGCGCAGCGCGACGACCGCCGCCGTGGTAAAAGTCACATTAATAAAGTGTTAATTACATCCATATTCAATTCTAGCGTGTTGAACAAAAATAAATTCTAAGAAGACATAACCCCAAGGATACAATTCTCAGCTACTTATGATTCAAATAATTCGATTTATTCCAAGAAATTAGGATTATGTTGACCCTCACTACAGTGGGAATTATCAAATAGTTCACAATGTACATCTGCAGTAACGCTCACTGAGGACTTCATTCACTCTTAATGTTTTACTGTGGCGATGATTTCAGACTGCTTTGTGTATAGGAGGTATGTATGTATTTGAAAACACCCAAATGCCCATGCGAGACATCCGTGCTATATCATGGAGTAACGTGTTAAATATGAAATATGGCATTATCATATTAAAATGCCAAATTATTAGGTCTAATTCTACAAGAAACATACAGGGCACAAACTAAACTGCCGTACATATATCAAATATATAGGCATACCCTTCCAATACAATATCACAAAATAATATGACAATGCATCAAACGTCATGAAATCATCATTATGAATCACATAGTAGTATAATCACCACATCCACGATGACATTGTCAATATCTCTGAATATGAAAGATTGAATTCCATATATCTTTTATTTTTAAAATGAAGAAAATAAACCAACTAACAAATTTAAATGTATACAATTTGATACCATTTTTGTTCTTAACTGAATCATAACATAACTTAAATTTGTAACAATTTGAATATTTTGTTATCGACAAAAAATCATTGTGGATAATGATCACATACTGTAATATAATATGTTTTATTATTATACATCTGACACCGTAACGCCATAAGTTACAGCGTGCCGTAATTTTGCTGTATTTTACGGGGTATTTACATCCTACCATATAAGGAAATGCGAATTCCAAACATGATTACGCGCGTATGCGTCCTCTAATAAAACAAACAAACATGGCTGCCACCAGGGTTTGACCAGACTCCACACAAAGACGTTCGTTGATTCTGTTCTAAACTTTTTGGATTTCGGCATTATGTATCCTTGGAAAGAAAAGATGTATACTAATAAGGTTCTTATGAGGATACCTCAAAGTATGCACCCAGACAGTACGCCGTCACATCGACCTCCGCTGCGGTCGGTCGACTGATACTGCCGCTGTAATGTCTTTGTGCATACTTTGAGGTATCCTCGTAATAACCTCATATTATTGTAGTACACAATGTAAGTTCCAGATACCAGACACACCACTATCATAGTATAGGCTGGTATATCATACACTCATCTGATATTTATGCAAAAGACATATGTATATTTCTTGCTTTTTCACACTCAGTATCAAAATACGATTTTCCAGACCCAATAATTTTGTTTAATGTTTTAACATGCGATATTATTATTATTATTATTTCTTGCAAGAATTTTACTATTCACTGGTGCTCACCATGCCAGTCACCATTTATCACAGGCAATGACAAACACATTGTATACAATATATCCATTGAACAAATGCATTATTAAATTATGACAATTAAGATAAAGATCAAAGAAGCAATATCTCTAGATACGATTTGCATGTTGTTCATTTGTAAAGTCACTTGTGTCCTGTTTATTTTAATTTCCTAATAATATATACGCTGGATTTGGCCTTGTGGCTACACACATGATATTCACATGTTTCAGCGTAAAAGTGTCTGAAAAATATATGCCACGGCAAATTATTTTTTCGTCAATGCATTTGTAATAATATGACTTCTTCGTAGGGTCAATGCATTATTTGTAATAATATGACTTCTTCGTAGGGCATCTTGCATTTTTCATGCTATTTCATACACAATTTGTTTTATTAACGAACTTTATGTCTTTTAAATGTTGTTGTAGCTTTTCAGCCCTTCCAAAGTGAATTGCAATCATATCTCCTCGACAGCATAACTTGTCACATGCTTTTATCTCTTCAATTTCGAAACGTGTGCTGTGTTGTGGTGTAATGCCCAACAGGGCAAACAGTATTCCAATGTGTACATCTTCTATATGATACATCTTTACGTACATCGATATGTCATGAATACGTATGACAACATCCCTGGATAAAACAATCGCTAACCCCGCCAAATATGGAGGGTACATCGGATATGGCCACTGCGTGATACTGGCTCGATTTTTTACTTTAGTATTTCGCCAAGCCTTTCCGTTTTGGCGAAGAAACCCACTTGCAAAGCCAGTCGATGGAGCAGATTTGAGAAAAGAAATTAAATTCTGTAATATTATTAATATATCATCATCAGTTTTTACCATGTATTGCACATTCTGACAGTATTCTGTGAACCATTCAAACATTATCATGGATTTCAGCGTAAGCATTCTGTAACCATCTGTAAAATCAATTAAAAGTATGTCTTTATATGACGTTGATTCGCTGCGCAGTCTTCCAAGGTCGTTGTTGTTGTCTGGCATGCCCATGACAAATATCTGTCCGATTTCCCGTTCTGATATGCGTTTGATTTTCCCCCTTGATTCTCGAATTACTGTTCTTGCTTGTACGTTTGCCGGCGCACTTACAGTCATTATCAAAAGAAACGCTGTGCCGTGACACTTGTGCGACGGATTTTCAATATACCTAAACGAAAATTTGTTTTTGTTTTCCAATTTCAGAAAAGTCAGGTTCAGCCCATGTTCACCGGAATGTGTAAAATTGAGGTTATCAAGTGTGTACAGCCGAGATACTGGTGTTTCATCCACAGTTAACAGTGTTATTATTACAACAGTCAAAGTTGCCGATACTAATAATAATATACTTAGTATAGGTTTCTGTAAGTTTGCCATCTATGCTTTTTCCGACACACCCATATTTCCAGTACCATGTTGCATACCTAATAACAAAAACAGTCTGTTAGGTAACATATTGCTATTATTCCGTTGAAATAGGTAACTAACAAATAACATGAAATGGTCTTGGCGTGCCAGAAGACCTTACTTTTGTACTCACCAAATGAACAGTCATATAGAATCAAGGTATAAATCTTATATTCACTTACTCATCGTTATCAGGAAACTAACACGTGTCACAGGGATAGTATATCACGGTCTGCACGCATTCTGTGCTATATATACGCTATATATATATATATAGTGACAATTAACGTGTTGAACAAAAGTCAAAATCAACGTACTGCATAACTGGATTATTTGCGCAGTGTTATTTTCGCCTAAACCGCGGGAAAACAATTAGCGCGAAATTAACTTGAAGTAAATGAATATTTTGTTTGCCTGGTATTTTCTTCCTTTTTTTGTCGTTGAGAGCGCTCTCGTCAGTACGCCGCGTATGATTTTTATTGACAATTGTTGTGAGCCCAAAATGCCGTTTTTGTCAAGCGCTCTCAACCGTATCAAATGTTTATTTTTGTTAAATAGGGTACTAAAAATTCAAATCCACATTAATACCAATCAAACAGCGAGTCATTCGTTATATGTTACAGTAGCATACCGTGTTAATGGCGAATGGTGCTACACCATCGCTGCTTACTGCAATGATAACACGTTTTTCAACGACTTTTTCACCCGCATCTCGCTTAAAACGGGAGGGTCGCCACGTGCGGGAATTGAGTCCCAAGCGACGATAACAACACACGCTAAAAACGCAAAGGCTCGTGGGTAGACGCTTGTTTGTAAACAATGACACGCCATGGCCTTCTGACGCATGTGCAGGTGACGACTCCCCCGCTTTAAGCTTTCCAACTCATTATTAGTTATGAGTGCTATCGTTGATTACGTCTACTCACGAAGGATGGCCACACCGAAGGTAATCTTTAACCTGTATCTGACCTGCCACGACGGACCCCCGTAACCGTTATACGCATCTTGTTTCAAACTTAGAATAGACATAACAACACAGCAATTTGGTTTAGATAAGATTGCTGCTGCTTATTAATATATTTTTGTTAAAGGGGCTCTTCCAGTTGAGCTTAATCTCACAACAAATTTACTTTCTGGATTAAAATTACAATGGATAACAAAAGATAGATTAACTTTGTAAATAGCATAAACAATAGTGTCCCATGATTCTTTGGTGCAATCCCTAGACTAGGAAGGTTCCCCCTATTTTCAGTGTGACATTAGGGGTGTTTGGATGACCGTTAATTCTAAGGATTGCATCAAATTAGGCACTCTATATTTTCAATATAAGCGGATTTATATGCAAACTATCGCAGCCATGATTGATCATGATGTAGTCTCAATGCTGGAATCCTCTATTCTGCACGTATTTTATTCAAAAGCTCTCGATCACTTGAACTGCTTGAACTGCCTGAATATATTTCCACTGTACTAGACAGTCTATGATCGTGCAAGTATTTTACACAACCATTGTTCTGACCATGTTAATAAAGTCCGTTCTCATTTTTACTTAGAAGTCCGTTTCTGGTACTTGTATAGACACGCATATGACTTTGAAGGATTGTTCCACGAAAATTAATCTGCCACTTTTGAATCTCTGCGTGAAAATTGTCAGTAATAGTACTATCTATCATCGTTATAACCTTGAATTGAATCACTATGGCAACCATCCCATAAATCATGCATCGAACACAATGACGACATCTTGAGTATTGTATGCAAGAAATGTAATACATACCTGTGCTAACTTTGTCAGAAGATGTCTGTCACAGATAAACAGGAATCCGTATTGAACGTATTGTGCAGTAAGCATGTAATAACAACCACTGACTCATCAAATGTGACGTTACAGTCTGATAACTATGTTACATATGTAAGGATGCAACAGCTGCACTGACATATAGGATTATGAGCTAATTAAATAATAATTAAACCTCTGTTTAAATTGTAGTTGGTGTCAGGTGACTGACACTTAATATGGAATATAAACTATATGACCAAGAATACGTGATCACGCCATTGTGGTCTTAATCAAAAGAATACGCCACGTTCTGTATACGCTCTATTTTATCTATATATTTTAAGTCTATATATGCCCTTTATTGTACTGTATAGCTCAAAATAAATATAATAATATATAAACAAAAAATAACAATGGTCGAACTGAATCATTGTTTAATCAATGTTATTTTTTAGGCGTGGTAGACAAAAGCAGTCGTTTTTTTGACTGTATTTGCTTCAGAGAGTATTAAAGAATGGAAAAAATTAATTCAGACATAGAAACATATATCAGTTCATCTGTATTTATTTCAGATGTAAATTACTATCACGCTATTTGTCAGTGATTTTGGAAATGCGCTGTATGAAGAACATTCAGGGCACCGCATAGCCATGATGTCAATTTCTTATAAAATTGAACAGAACACTTTTACTACTGTCAGATGAACCACTAAGGAATTGGATGTAATATAAAGTTAATTACCTCGAAATATGGCATGCCAGTTTAAATTTTTGCAATCCTTCCAGCAATTTAATTCTGTGTCGTCCCGGCATTTTGGCACATACTTGAGGACGTGTTGAGGACGATTACTTGGCGCCAAACTGACAGAGCATGTGTTTGCTGTAAAACATCCGATAACGTCGAATTCTTTGTTGTATTATTTATACAAAACATATAACGCTAGAATTTATTGAATTTCTGAATACTATTACACAAGTCGGTTTTCTTTGTTTTTTACAACAACACAAGACTATGACTCGCGATTTTCTAGTTACTCTGTATTTGATTTGATTCGTCTTTTATCGAAATGAAACGAATATGAATATGAAACACATGCGACACTCACGAATGGTACATACGTACAGTAATATATACACTATCCTGCTTAAGGGTGTAGTGGAGTTTTGTTGGCACATGTTAATCTTAACTTTTTTTTATCTTTTATAGAATCTATAACTATATTTATATCTAAATTTTAGAGCTGTACCATAAATCAAATAAGTACTACTCGACAAGCACTCATCAGATTTTGTCACTTTTTTCAGACATACCTTTTAATGTCTTCACAGTATTTGAATCGTCAGCAAAAGAATTATTTACTTAGCAGGCACATGACCACATACAATTTAGGCGACAGTTAATTAGTGTGATGTATGCGTTTTCATAAAATACAATGTTTGATACGGTTTAAAACAACTCATCTATGAAAATAATTAGTGTGGATTTTACTTCCTGTAAACCTCTACTATAATCTTAAACTCTGAGAATACATTATGACAATTCCCATCAGTGTAGTGAAGAATGAATGTCATGGTTACATCAAATTGGATTTCACTTTTCATAATGTGAATATTAATAGTAGGAACGGGAGATTCTAATTTGTTCAATGTTTATAATAACCATGTCCTTGCATTGTAAATAATAAACACTAAGTTGCGTGTATAATAATTGTGTTGTTAATAGAAAAAAATTGTCCATATTACATGGAAATAAATAGCTTAAAGCGGGAGGGTCGTCCCCTGCGCACGCGCGGGAATTGAGTCCCAAGCGATGATTCGCTGGTTCCCGGTGTCGCTTGCGAATAGTAAGCTAACAACAACACACGCTAAGAACAAAGGCTCATGGGTAGACGCTTGTTTGTAAACAATGACACGCTATGGCCATCTGACACATACGTAGTTGACCACTCCCCCGCTTTAACGTCATCGCGATTCAAGTTTCATTGAATGGCGAATGGATGGATAATTATTCTTAATACTGAGTGAATGAATATAAAAAAAAAGTATGTTCTCATATCTTAAATTCGATACCTCATACCCGGTATTTGTATTTGACAATTGATTTCTGTTATCTAGAAACTAATCAAATACAATTTCAGCTAGTCGTTAATAGATCGTCCTGATTGTTTTGGAGGAAAATGAAGATAACGTCATTAATAATTTGTTCTAATTTGGCTTGGATATGGACACGGTTAATGTGAATTCGAACCTTAAAGTTAACGCTTCGTGTTTTCTGTTCTGTATACCGCGTCATATAACACGAAATTTAAGAACCTTATTAACCTGATTTGTTTAGTGTCAGTTAAAAAACAAATTCTACACCGGTAATTATCAGTGCAATGAAAGGACTACCGGTAACGGGAGTACGATGGTATAACTGTCAATCTGGTTAAAATAAGACCCTAGTTTGTTTCAAATATGTTGTTATTTATTTTTCTTATACGTTCTCTTTTACTTTATTTTATTTTAATTTATTATTAATTTAATAATAAAAATATATATTAAAAACAACAAAATATGATATATATAAAAAAAATAAATTCACGCCGTACATCAGATTTTAATCAGATTGGTATAACTGTGTAACTTTATTCGGAAGATGACGTCAGATACACAGCATGGAATACAGTGTTTGTCTCCAGGCGTTGTCTGAAGGAGACAACCCCACCGAGTATTGTAACGTGACTTATACGAGTCTCGTGTCGTTAAAACACCGTTCACACTAACGGCAAATGCCGCGCTTTAAATCGGCGAGCCAAGCGCCGTTGGTGTGAACTAAGCATAAGTTTCCCAGTGAAGTGATTTGTGTGTGTGTAAAAAACAAGTGATATTATTAACATAATCACGTGGCCCGTTTTGTCGTGTCACGTTACCCACAATGCATAATGTTCTGAGAGACCACGGAATATTGATATGAATATGGACAGGCGTTTGCTGTCTATTGTGTTGCATTGTGTGTAAATTTCTTTTGTGAATTGATACGTCGATACGGTGTTGTTGCTATAAACCACGCCCTCTAGTGTCGCAGCGCTTCTGTGGTGTAAGTAGGTGAAATCGACGCCGTTAACTGTGTGGTTCTTTAAAAAATGATATATTTAAAAATGTTTTATATTCTAACTGATAAAAGACTACACAACCAGACACAGTAGTCC